TCCATTAATGAGACCAGAATGAAGACAGGTAACACATAAATTTACCAAGGGAAAAGCAGGAAACTCTGATTCTACCTTTATTTATAAAATGGGCCTCCTTTACCTTTATTTTTTTCCTTTTTGCATATGTGTGGTATGTATGTGTATTCACCTATGTGTAGGTGTACTTCTGTGTGCAGATACCTTCCTTAATTGCTGTCCATTTTGCATTAATGAGGGAGGGTCTCTCACTTGAACCCAGAGCTTGTGATTCAGCTAGTCTAGATAGTCGGCTTCCTCTGGGGTCCTGTTTTGTTTCCTGCGCACTGGGATTGCAGAAGGGCCACCATGCCCTCTGGTATTTACATGAGTGCTGGCGATCTGAGCTCCAGGTCTCACGCTTGTGTAGTAAATGCTTTGCCCACTGAGCCATCTCCCCAGGCCCTCCTCTTACATTTCACTAACTTCTATATAGAACTGTAGACAATTACATCTGATAAAAATTCAATTTCTAAGATTGGTTTGACTACTTAAGCAATAATATGCTCATAATTACAATTAGCCAAAAAAAATGTATTAGCTACAAACAGCAGCTAACACCAGAAGTGCAGGACAGCCTTCCTCACGCTTGGTTCCTGCCAACCACCACTGAACCCTTTCCTCTCTCTTCACCTGGCAGCCCAGGCTGCTGCCACAGCCCACTGAGCTGGCCTACAAATTGTTATCTGTGGGCCAGACAAGGCTGTCAGAGATGTGTCATTAGAGATAAAGCTGTGGTATAAACTGCTTTTTTTTTCAGTCCTACTAAAGTTGGGTTCAAAACATCTGAGATTTGACTGAACACAGCATGTGAAATGTACAACTTCTGACTCTTTCATGAAGAGTGCATTATCATGAAACAAGTATGTAATGACATACCTAAACCATGTTCAGACTACCTCCCTGCCAAGGTATTTATACATTTGGAACAATCAATGCAATCACCTTTCCCACGGTATCTTTATACCACACTCACATGTTAGGTAAGTGCTCTACCACAGAGCTACAACTCCTAGTCTTGTCATGGCATCTCTTATGCATGAAAATAGTATGTAATATACACAAACTAGAGTTAATAGCAGGAAGTCCCTAAATAACTCGCTAAAATGCCATGGTGCTGTGTGTAATAACTACGACTACTACTCAGGATATAAGATAAAGGGGAGGAAACTAGTTTGAATCTGACAGAAGACTCAACACATAAGAGCAGTTGTGAATTTACACTGGTAGTTTTGAGCTGGTGTGAGTCAACTATGGGAAATCAGAAATAAAATAAACTTCTTAACAGTTCTCAGCCCACAGTGGACACAAGACGCATCTGTGGGTGACATTCTGTGAATGTGGCTTCTGTGGAATCATCCTAAAAAGGAATGTGATTTATCCCCAGAAGGGACAGCCTTGAAGCTACTCTGCAAGAACCACTAAAGGAAGCTTAGTGCCAAACTAGGTCATGCTTAGCAAAATATTTTTTCCAACAATTAAAAGAAATATAATTTACTTTCTCAGTATTTCAGATACAGAAATGACTGAATAAGTTCAAAGCAATACCGTGGTCAAGGAGAATTTACTCAAGCCTGAATATAGAGAAAATGAGCCAGAAAGGCAGTTTAATTGCAGATGTGTAAAGACGACTCCTCTGGCCAACCTTTTGTGATGTGTTAGGAGAAATGGTACGTGAATAAAAGCACTATGAACAATAGTGCAGCTATCTTCTCATCAGTCCAAATGAATACTAAATATTAAATTTCATCTAAGTAGTAAAAATACGATTCCTCTAAAACACACTTTATGGTTCCTTTCAAATTATCCTAAATTAGTTGCTACAGTCTGAGCATAATGGAGCAAAATGAACACCCCATTTATTAATCACTTGCTGAACTCTATGACAGAACAAATGATATTTTTAAGAATTCTTAAAATAATAGAAAATTTCAAATCTCATTAATAATTATTTCAAGCACATAGTCCTGCCTTAAGTACTCATTCAATAGATATACCCTAATGTCACAATCGCTCTAATTCAAAGTGTTTAGAGAACAACAAAGTGTTTAGCAATCCGAATAGCTGTGCACAGTAAACAAGTACACAGAAAGCTCTTACGGTGGCAATCGGTCCATCAACGTGATAATCGAGGCTGAAGACATCCCATCCAGTATCACCTGGAGAGACCTAACAGCAATGAAATAAACAAAAAAGAAATAGCTGAAAGGCTTTGCGTTTACTGCTGAAGAACCTGTCAACCGCTCAAAGAAAAGGCAGCAAAATAAGGCACATGTTTTTAAACTCATAAGTATTCAGGTGCCACAAGCCTCCTTGTCAGCATATGCATCCGCAGCAGTGAGAGGATGGTAAGGCACACTATAGGTGCTTTGCCATTGTGTAGGAATGAACAGTGCTGTTCTGAACAACCACTACAAACATATATTCAAAATTCACCACCCTTTTATGACAAAACCCCACTGCCTCATAATAGGTTCCAAATCTCCTAAGGTCTGTATATCAGTGGGTTTTAGTAGTGACCCCACAGGTCAGGCAGTGAGGATTCATGTTCATAAGCCTGAGTCTAAGCACAGCCCCTCCTGCCACAACAACTCCATAGACACTGACAATCTGGGGAACAATGTTCTTGCCTGCTGAACCTATGCATCATCTCCAATGAAATGTGGTTCACTTCACTAAGTATCTGTGGTGCCCCACACGCTGGGGCACCTGTCTCATGCACAGTACCCAATATGAGCCCAAAAGCTCCAGGAGATGCCCCCTTAATAAGACTGTGGCTTTGAGGAAAGGGGACTTGCTATAGTACAGGGCAGAACATACCCAGCCTGTGTTCTAGGAACAGCCAGACTTGTGCCTTATAGAAGCAAGACATTCAGGACGAACGACATCAGGACCACCTCAGTCATGTCACCTACCTCCAGCAGCCGCACATCCAGCCTCCTGAGGATCTCGGGGCTGTCAAATTGGGCGTTGGTGGCTCTTACAGCAGTTTCAAGAATTCCAGTCAAGTTATGTTGATATAAAGTTGTTGCTGGGCGAACAAGTTCTGGTCTTAACAAATTTTAAAAAATAAAGATGTTATTTGAATTTTTAACGAACTTTTAAAAAATGAACTAAAACAGTTAAATTATAAAACCTGAAAAGGGGTATGGATAAAATGTAGTTATAAAAGTTTCATGGTGCCACTCAGGAACCATCCTGTGATCCCATTTAGGTTTCTTGGCAGTCCTTTGAAAATAATAACTCCCTAACCCATCAAAATCCTACATATGACCACTGGAGAGACAACAGAGTGGGACTCCTCCTCCAGACACCCACACCCATCCTCTGAGAAGTGTCTCCCTTCCTTCCATGTACCTCTTTCTCTTAATTCTCATGTCTAAAGTCTATTAAAATGTCTCTAATGAACCCTCACTCCATTTCATTTTAATAAAAAGCTTCATGCAAACAGGGTTTTAGAAGGCACTTTTCTTCAAAATCTTAAAGACACTAATTTTCATTCAGCCTAGTACTCAGATATGCTACACGTGTTGATACGGGTTTCTACACTTACAACTAGCCTGTGGGTAGCATGATTATTATCATTTCTACAGAGACTCAATGAGAAGATCTTCTGGGTTTCTACACTTACAACTAGCCTATGGGTAGCATGATTATTATCATTTCTACAGAGACTCAATGAGAAGATCTTCCTTAAATCTAAACAAGTAGGGGTGGATTGCCAGTTCCAAAAGCCCAAAACCGCTGCACCATCACACACTCACCCATCTCTGCTGAGTTACTGAAAACCGCATTTCAAAACAAGAATACCCCACTGCTCCAATTAAGAGGTGCCAAATACCTCCATGTGCAAACATGTCCAACGCTGGGCGAAGACCAGGTGAAAAGGCGCTACACCACCACCCACAATAAACCTGAGGCAAAAAGTAAGTGCAGTGGTGGCACTCTTAATACCTACACACTTAAATCACACCTTTGAGAAAAAGGTGCGTTGTCAGAATGACACTCCAGCAGAGGCAAGCAGAGGCCCTGGATGAGGCAATCTGCAATACTACCCAGACCTTTCAGGTCACTCAGCCTCTACTTTGCTCCATCCTGCTAGCCTGCTTGTGCAAGTGTCCACTGTGCACTCCCAGTCCAGCCCAGCACCTAGAGAACATTTCCCCTCTAACAGCTCATCGCCACAATCTACCCAGTACCTAACTCTCTAGGGAACCCCTTCACTTCTGGTGTGAAAATGCTCTTCCATAGTGGGATTGCCATACATCTACACTGTCAGTAACTAGCTCTAACTCAAGCCATGTACAGAAGGTCAGCTCACAAACTCCTAGGTAAGAAAGGACAGCAGGGGACCTTCAGGGAAGTGAGATAAAGTCAAGGTTTGAGGCCACAGAGCCAAAACAACAACTTCATTAGCACAGGTAAGGTGTGAAGATAACTTGCTATTTTGTTTTCTGAGGGAAACATCTAATTCTTTTGTGTGTCTTAAAGGGAATGCTGCAACCCAGCAAAAGTCTATTCTTGTAAGCGCCTTAGTTTCTGGCCCTGCCTTGACTACACTTGACCTGCTCACCAACCTTGTCCAGAGTATCTGACTGTTCTGGAACAGAGATCTGGGGGACCCCAACAGGGAACAGGATGAGAAGGGTAATGGCTTTGTACTGCTGCATAAAGCACAGAACTAAAAGGTCAATTTAAAATATCTAGTTTCTCAAATTAATTTCAAACCAAAGCCAAAATGAACTGTGACTGCACCCAGCTCCTCCCACTCAAGGAGCCACTGCTCATGCCCAGTGCTCACGGTTTCCTCATGAACACAGCACGACCCACAGCTCATGGCCTGCTGGCAAAAAGAGCAAAATAATGGACTTTGACCCATGAAACTTTTACAATTTTACCTACATAGAGTTTATTTTAAACACATGCTCTGTAAGAATTCAACTTGTTTCCTTCTAACATCATTTATTTATTTATTCTTTTTTTTTTTTTTTTTGATCTTTTTGAGACAGGGTCTCCCTGTAGCCCCAGTTATCCTGGAACTCACTATGTAGACCAGGCTGGCCTTGAATTCACAGAGATCCGCCTGCCTCTGCCTCCCAAGTGCTGGGATTAAAGGCGTGTGCCACCAAAACAAAAACTATCAGGTCATTTATAAGATTAAAAATACTGCAAACTTTAAAAATCAAGTTTCTTACTTTAGTAAATCCATTAAATGCCTTATAAAATCTCCTTGACCAAGAAGCAAGTATCGCCTCATTGCCTGCATGTGGTCCAGCAAGCTGTACTTTTTATTGAGAACATCCAATAGGTATTTGCTGGTCTCGAAATAAGCAGCATCAATTTTCCCTTGAAATGCATTTTCTAAATCTGTGAATAAATCTGCAGCTGTAAGGAACAAAAGGGAAAAGCACAAACCCATACGTAACGTGTATTTCAACAAGAACAGTAAAGGCTGTATAGAAGCAGTGCCAACCCAGCAATGCAGACCAATTCAGCCACAGCAGTAGCAGTGAAAGCAAAGCAGTCCCAAGACAGAGAGGCCAATGTCCAGCCGAACCAAGAGCAAACCTTGTACTCAAGATTTTCAGAACAGCCATAAGCACTTCATGTAAAGTCAAGGTCACTATGCAGGCTGAAACTAATGGAAGTCTCACTACCACACTGCAGTGATGGAACAGAGATGAATTCCACAAAGGCCTACAGAACACTTCGACAAATTAGTCCTGAAACCCAAACTGTTCACATGGATTGAACGTGTGAGTTTTACAGCTCTGTGAAAATTGGCACTACTCAGAGTTCCAACAGGGCCATGAGGACTCAAGCGGTCAACCTGCATCATTTACATGAGTACTCCGAGCACTATAAAAGTTCATAACTCCAACATCACAAGGGGTCTCCTGGCTCACCTCTTAAACATAGGCATCTACCCAAAATTTGACTCTAGATCCCATATCTAGGCACCCCGGAAGGTACATAAAAGTCTTCACGTAAACCATTTGCATGAAGGCTGCAGCTGTCAGGGATGGTACAGACCACCTAACGACCTAAGGAGCTCTTGCCACATCAGCCTTGTCCTGAGCCTCGCCTCCATGCGGAAGCGGGTGCTTCCCTTGTCTCAATATTCTGTCCCAATCTTTAGTTGGAGTTTTAGTATACCACTGCCAATACAATGTCTTATGCAAGGAAAACTTTCTAAATGAATCAAGATGATAAGAGTAATAGAAAACTATAAAGATAACTATATACAAAATACCATGAAATTATTGACGCTGGGGTATGCAGTAAATTGGAGAGAAAGGAGGAGAGGGTAGCAGATTATCAGCTGATGAGGGACTCCATTACACTTTAAAACAGAAACTGATCTCTGTTGATTCAGAAAGAGCCTGAGTCCCACAGTTATCATCATCTCCTTCTCTACTTCCTTATTTTGAAATGCTATCTTTTTTATCATTAGAAAAACAGTAGTGCAAATTACTAAGCAGGAGGAAATAGCTTAATGTATTTTAATATGACTACTTAATGCTATATAAAGCAGAAATTAAACATTCACATAGCAATAGATAGTTCATGTGTACATATACACTAATATGTATCTTAGTAATCCAGGTAATCTGTAGATGCTATAAACAAAGAGTTAATTTAAACAATATATGTCACCACCACCATAGTGTCACCACTGTCACATCATCACATCAGTATCATACCAGTTACATCACCCCATCATGATCAACCTCACATCTTCATCACACATCATCACATCATCACACATCATCACATCACCAGCACCTCATGTCATCATCATCACATCACCAGTGCATCACATCATCGCCACTATCATTGTATTACTAGTACCTAGCATCATCACATCACTAAAACCTCCTATCATCACTATCATCACATCACCAGCATATCACTACCTTCACATCACCATCTTCATTACCACCACCATCACTATCAGTACCACATTACCAGCATATCACCACCATCATTCCCACAATCACATCACCATCACAATAAATACCATTAACCATGACCACCATCACCATCCTCATCCCTATCATTAGCACCATCAACAAAATAATCATACCATCACGGGGTGACTCTGCAGACTTGGTCACAGCTATCATTTTTGTAGTAGGCGTCTGATCGTGACAAACTTGGTGCAAGAAATTTATTGACTTTCCTATCAAAAGAACCTAAAGAGAAAAATAAGCTATGACTGCCTTTATATAAAATTTAATTGGTCATCCAAACACAACTATTCACACATTACAAATGAACTATTGATTAGAAACTATGTGACAAGAGCATTGGGTCTAGTGTCAAGTGAGTTCCAGTAACTCAAAAGATATATTAGTAAACACATTAATGTATTCCATTAACAATAGAATATTAACAATCTAAAAATACAACAAAACTTATTTAACTAAAAACTAGTTTTGGTCATAGTCCAAATGTCTTTGGTAACAAAGCATCACAAATGGAAAGAGTATCTTCTTAAGCCTACCTTTCTAGATTGGTCCATTGTCATGAAGGAAGGGATCATCGATTTCCTCAATGTATACTTGTCATGCCACAGCCGATCAGTTTTAACTGTTGGATCTGATGCCACAAAAAACTATGAGCAAAAGTACATTGAGTATTAATAATTTATAAAAAATATTAGTAGAGCCAGGTGTGGTGGCACCCGCCTTTAATCCCAGCACTCGGGAGGCATAGGCAGACGGATCTCTGTGAGTTCAAAGCCAGCCTGGACTACATAGTGAGTTCCAGGACAGCTGGAGTTACAGGAGACCCTGTCTCAAAAAGATCCCCCCACCAAAATATATATATATATTTATTTATGTTAATAACAACAAAAAAGTTATTTTAGAAATTTATTCCATGGGGAAGTTTTTCAGATACAGAGGATCCATTCATTTATCCAATGAAACTGTTTGACAAAGCATTTTGGGCAGAAAGTTTTCTAAACTGAATTGTTTCCCAGACTTAAAACCAAACTACAACAAAAACAAGTAGCTTTCCTTGGAGACTTAGGAACCTCAGTATGAGTATCAGTGAAACCACTGCCCCACAGCCTCCACGATCTAAGTCTGAGGACCTCCCCACCCACATGGAGCTCTTCTGCCTTGGTAACGACATGGAATTCTAGAGCTTTCTCAATACTCAACTCATGTCCAGTGGCCCACTATTTGGTTGCTCCTGATCATCTCTACTTCACAGAGTGCCACAGTTTGGAATAGTCATGCCTAAGCACATGCACTCTGTTCACAAACTGCCATCCACAGACAATCCCACAGCACACAGGACTTATACCAAGGCCAGTAGCAGCTTTCCCTTGTGACTCTCCCCAGGCACCACAGCTCATCTTCCCCTTCCCACACCTACAATCCAGAAAAACAGCAGCCAGGAAAAAACTCAAATGCCATCTTTTCCAGGTGACCTGCACTACAATGAGACCGCTTTCATTTTTAACCACAGGCCTTATAGCAGTGCTCACCTGCTATAAATTTGTCTTCTAACAGCAGAACTGCTGAGGGGAATAAAGTTCAATTTGTGTGTACCCTGCCAGATCGCCCCAATCCACGCCTGTGTTGCCTGTGTCCTGCACCCTCACTAACAGGGTTCCCTGTGTTCTGTACCTTTTAACGAAAGCCCATGAACTACAAATGAAACTGAGCATATTGCCATAATGTAAACTCCCTTTTGGGTTTTTTTCCCTCCTACAAACCATCTTTTCCTGTCTTTAGCCCATCTTTCTATTTTGACTTTGATCATTATATAGATTCTTTGTGCATTAGAAATAGTGACCACGGCAGCTGTGGTGGAACACACCTTTAATCCCAGCACTCGGGAGGCAGGGGCAAGTGAATCTCTGTGAGTTCTAGGCCAGCATGGTCTACATAGTGTGTTCCAGGCCAGCTGGGGCTACAGGGAAAGCCTGTCACAAAAAGATGGTGGGGGAGTGACTACTTGGCAATCACTGCATACTACAAATTAAATTTTTCCAAGTTAATAATCTGCCAATGTTTGTAGTACCTTCAGGTTCTTGTTTGCTCTATTCTGTTTTTCTTTTTATAGTTTCTGAGCTTCCTCTCTTAAGATCTTCCCATTTCCAGATTGCAGAAAGATTCTCCACAATGTATTTGTACTATTTTCATTACTCTGAATTATTTCTATCATTAGTTACTCTGAATAGAATATTATCCTTGTAGTACTGGATACTTCTTGATTGAGCTATGTTACATTTCTAATGTTATTAAATGTCAAAAGTCAGAAAGCTTGTTAGACTCTTATTAGGTCTAATAGTGAATGATCTTGAATTTTCAATACAATCACACAATTTATGAATAAAGTTGGTTCTGTTGAAAAAATTTCAAAAGTGAATATATAAATGATCATATAGTTAGTTTTTATTAAAAGTTTCTTTTTAACTCTCACAGACATCCAAGAATCTGATAAAAAGTATCAATCTTCCCAGAAAAAAAATACACATTTGCAAACCTGGACTAGATGATAAGCCAGCCAGGAGTCTGAGGGAGCATTGTAAAAGTTTGGTAAAGAATAATTATGGCAATACACATTACTTATTTCCAAGAAAAAATATCAAAAGTTATAAGTACTATATGACATGAAACAAATCCAGTAAAAAATAAACATATTATCTGTTTGCAATCAGATTATTAATAAATTTTATAGGTATGAGTGGTGCCTGCATGTATGTAAGTGTACCAGTGTGTGCAATACCCTCAGAGGCCAGAAGAGGGCATTTGATCCCTTGGAACTGGAGTTATGAACAGCTGTTAGCCACCCTGGCTGGAGATGCTAGGAACTAAGCCAGGGTCTTTTACAAGAACAGCCAGTGCTCTTAACCACTGAGTCATCTCTCCAGTCCCCCAGATTACTGAAAAAATTTAACTTTCTCTACTAAATGTGTTTATATAATTCAAGCTTTTAAACTGCAACAAATATCGGTAAATAAGAAAAAAAAAATCCTTTAATAACTGCTACTGGCCAAACACTGAACATATTACGATTTTTATTTGCTTACTTGTTTGTTTTTGTTCTTTTTAATAGCATTATTCTCTCTGGCAATTAACTAGTTTTTCTTTTGTAGGAATTCAGTACCAAGAGTAAGTAATCAGGAAAACAAACTGTTACTGATACCAAGGTCTTGTGTTTGATCCTTGTGAGTAAAAGCATGTGAATATCAGCATTCTTATGACCACAGAGAAGGGATCAGAGGTTTCCAACTGACTAAAGCACTCACTGATCTAACTCGGGCTCTTTTGCTGTGTATTACCTTTCCAATTTAAATATGTAACTGCTTGGAGAAAAGAAACAGCTCTGCTCTAATGAGGTCATCACTTCAACACACATTGAAATTATCCCTGAGAGAAATGAGAGTTACAAGCTCACTATGAATGATCTCCACGGTTACAGTCACTGTGCTGTGACTGCCCTGTGGCTTGCTATTCAACAGATTAGATTAATTGCATATAAATTGTATTTCTCTGTTATTCACTTAAACACAAGAGCCAGTTTTTACAGACAACAAACCAATTTATCCTGATAGTTGGAGTGCAGCTGGATTTTTATCAGTATGAACAATAAGAAATTTTAATTTAAATCATTAAAAAACCTCAGACAATTCAGTCATCTTTGGAAGTTACGAACACGATGCTTCATCTAAGGGCACAGGAGCGTGCAGTCACTCTACGAGCAAACAGCTAGTAGCGAACATAAAGAATTCCTGAGTCTTTAGAACATAATTAATTCTACAAGACACATATGGCAGTGGAGGGAAGAATCAAGGTCAGAATATAATTGCAATAAGCCTTTATCTTATTGATGCATTCCCCCTCAAGGTCTTTTAATTTCTACCATTATGTCAAACAGAAGAATCAAGAAAAAAAAATAAACTGTCATTGTACAATTTCTCATTAACTACTAGACAAATGTGAGACCCTCACCCCCAACCTGAAACAGCAAAGAGGAGATTCTCTTGGCAGGCAACTCAGTTCCTAGGAATCAGACACATCAACACAGACCACAGAAACTCCCACGTCAACACCAGCCATGAAACACCAGCTTAGGACTCAGAGAAAGCTCACAGTGTCTGTACAGGGAGCACAAACCAGTCAGTTTCCCCATGATCACGAAGGTCATGGACAAGGCAAACTCAAAAATTACAGTATTTCAAAAGGAACCAGCCTGGTGCTTCCTTGACCAAGTTTATCCCTAAGTATTTCATTGTTTTGATGAGTGGAATCATTTTCATTTTGTGTTTGCAGTCTTCAATGGGAGTGCATAGAAACAAGGCATTTTAGTTACTGACTTTATATTCTGCTAATCTGAGAACCTTATCATTAAACACAGGTGCATGATCTCTTTTCCAGTGCAGAGCTATACAATGCATGCCTGGGAGTTTTCTGTATGCAAGATCGTGTCACCTTGGAACAGCTTAAGTTTACTTCTTTTCTTTTCCACTCCTGCCTTGCAGCACAATGCTGAGATGCTGAGCAGGTGTCTCTGGTTCACAGAGACAGCAGGCAGTCCCTTACCATCACAGGCACTGGCCACGTTTTGGTCACGCCCTCATTAAGGTCCTGTCAGGGTTTCTTCATCTTATCATCAAAGGGTGCTGAATGTCACATTTTTCCAGCATATCAATTGGACTGTGTCTCCTTTCACTGTTAAACATGTATGTCACATGGATGCACCACATTGAACATTCCTGCATTCCTGGAATAAATCCCCTTGTTATGGCAAACAACCTATTCAACAGTTCCAGAATTCTGTTTCCTGGTACTTTCTGGAGGTCTTGACATTTGTATTCATAAGTGATGTGGATATGTACTTGTCCTGTGCAGTCCTATGGTAGCTTCATAACATGACATAAGTGTTCTTTCCTACTGTGCTTTCTGCAGTTTGAGATGGGCTGGTGATGGTTCTGTAAGCATCTCGTTAGAACTCACCAGACAAGCCACCTGGCTGCAGTCTTTCCATGTGAATTTCCTCAACTACTTGCTGGCTGGAGGTCTAAGCACCTTTCCTATTTCTCTGTGAATCAGTCAGCAATTTCCAAATTCCTGGGACCCTCTGGGGTGCTACCTATCAAGAATCTCTTTCTCCATTTTTGAAGGAGAACCCTGCATGGTATACAATACCCAGTGATACTTGTACTCTCAGCATCTGGGCACAGAATTCTACCACTTTCTAATAAGACGTCAACAGTCAGTCTGCCTCACATGCTACATTAAACTGTTTCCCTCTATCTTTGGTGTCTGCAGTTTAATTATAATGTATCTCATTGCTTTCTGTGGATGTGTACATTATGTTTTCATTAATTAAAATATGATAATCAATGACTTTCTTCATCAGCTCCATGCCACTGTCTCAAGTGCTGACATTTTTTTCCTTCCTTTTCTTCCTGACTGTTGGACTGGATGTCCTCACCTGGCTCTCCTACAGTTAGAGATAGCTCAGTGGGTAAAGTATGTGCCATCCAAGTATGAGGACCCGAATTTGATCCCTAGTGCATTAAAAAAAAAAAAAAATGGGGCAGGGGCTGAAGAGTTGGCTCAGAGCTTAAGAGCACTTACAGAGGACAGGAGGTCAATTCCCAACACCAATGTCCAGTGGCTCTCAACCTCCTGTAACTCCAGTTCCAAGGGATCCAGCCCTCTTCTGGACTCCACAGGCACCTGTACGCACACAAGCACATTCCCCCCCACAGACATACATACATATACGCATAATAAAAAATAAAATAAATCTTGGTCAGGTGTGGTAGCACACACCTTTAATCCCAGTACTCAGAAGGCAGACGCAGGCAGATCCCTGTGAGTTCAAGGCCAACCTGGTCTACATACTGAGTTCCAGGTCAGTCAGGGCTACATAGTGAGACCCTGTCTCAGAAAAATAAATAGAAATTAACTAATTAAAATAAGCATCTGAAAAATACTGGGTGTAGTAGCACATACTTATAATGTTGTGCTGGGGAGACAGAGACAAGACGATCCCTAGGGATCATCAAAGTCAGTCTCTCCAACTCAGAGCATTCCAGGTCAATCAAAAGACCCTGTCTGAAAAAATAAGGTGGACGTTGGACGTTGCCTGATAAATATCCAAGGTTGACTTCTGGCATACGCATATGCATGCATATGTATGCATACATTCTCTCTCTCTCCTCTCTCTTTCTCTCTCTCTCTCTCTCTCTCTCTCTCTCTC